AGCACCTGGGCCCCCGCGGTGGCCATGCCTTCGGCGCTGGCTCCCGGTGGGACACGGTAGCTTTGCGGCAAAAAAGGGGACGGGCACCAAATGTAAAGGCCACGCAGGCAGAGGGTAAAGCATGACATCTTGCCTCGGAGACCATGGAGGGAGCCAGGACTTTGCGAAGGGGCTGAGGGGCAGCAATGCCAACCTGTGTTTCTTGTCAGGGAGCAGAGGCCAGAGCCCAAATTGCCCGCAGGCCCCATGCGTTACCTGGAGCAGGTTGCGGGCCAAGCGAGTCTTTCCCGTGTACACCAGCAGCAAGTGATCGTTCAGGGTCTGGGCGAAGCCTTCAGGCACCGGGATCTCCTCTACCTCCACCCTGAGCGGGAGCTGGGCCTTCGACCTCCCGATTTTGATGCCTGGCACGAGCCCACCTACCTGGTCCTGCCAACCACCTCCTGCAAGGCAGAGGGTCCTCAGCCACTGCTAGCTGCCATGGACGGGCCACATCCTGCCCTGCGGGCAAGGGCAAGGATGCTTCCTCCCGGACGCTACCTGTCGTGAGTCTCTGCTCCAGGTGCAGCACGGCATGGATGAGGGACTCAGTGCTGGCAGCCTTCCCAGCCGCCCGGTACAGCGATGCCATCACCGCTCCGGCCAGGATGCTGCTGGTGCCTGCAGGGAGCACAGCAGGGCTAGGGCAGCAGGGAGCAGCACTCGCATTGCGCATCCCCGCGTCACCCTCCCTGGGCTGCACGGTGGGTCACGGGGAGGCAGCACAGAGGCTCACTGGGCCTGACAGCAGCCACGTGCCAGGCTGCAAGAGCCGGGGCTGAGCTTACGGCCGCGTGGCAGCGAGTAGGAAGCCCTGTCCTGGGGCTTGGAGCAGACGGGACGTCCCCAACCCGCTGGCAGGGGTTGGATTTGCCCTCGCCAGCTCTTTCCCAGCAGACGTACCCAGGCCAGAGCCGTGGGGTAGCTCAGACCAGGTGTGCACCTCGAAGCCACCACCGAAGCTCTCCATCAGCTGGGCTCGTAAGGGTTTCTGCGAGGGGAACTGCACGATCTGCGTGCATATGAAGGCAGCTTTGAGCAAGGCTCCTGAAAAAAAAAAAGAGGAACGGAAAGCACAGAAGGCACTAGCTTTGCTTTACCTGCTGCTTCCTTAATGCTCTAGTCCCCAAGGGCCACGAGCAAGTTGCTTCTGGCATGGCACAACAAGTCAACCCCATATCTGCTGCACTGCAGGACTGCCTGGGGACATGCGTGTCCGTCCCCTGGATGGAGACCCGGATACAGAGCCAGGCCCTGCAGCTGATCGGCATCTCACCTGGCGCGTGCGGCTGGCAGTAATCCTGCAAGTGCTCCAGTTCGCGGCACACCAGTTCCATGGCCACCTCGCCTCGCGGCGTCCCGCTGACGTAGGCAAGGC